AAATCCCCATCCAAGAATTTTGTTGGTTAGAAAAATCCTATTCTACATCTGATCTTAAATTTACGAATTAATTGAATAATTTGAAAAGATTAAAAAAATTAAATAAACTAGTTTAAATTATTTATATTTATTATTTTTTTCAATTAATTTGTCTAATATATAAATTGATATATAATCTAATATAATAATATATATAAGTATTTCGACAAGACCACGAAAAATTTGCTATAATTAAGTCATTTACTTATTTTTTTAATATCTTTAAATTGATCAGTTGTGTCTTATATTAATGGTCGAATGTAGTATATTTTTATGCATACAAAGTATTAGCACTCTGAAAAAATTCATGCACATAAAATATATGTAATCCAATTCATTCATGTCCTTCTAGCTAATAAAATTTTTAAATGAGAAATTTTTATTGATTTTCCCACCCTTTGGTCGAGTTTAAACTAGGTACCGTAGGCCACTGTGCACCATTCAAAGCATCAGGAATAATACGTAGTATTAAATGTCACTTGGGAATGATAAGATTTCCGATAGGCCGATACATTTTTTCACATATAAATATAAATGCACGAACCATGAAGTTTGATTTCATGGATGTCCCTATTGAGGCCAGAAACAAAGGAAAATAATCATAGATGTCTATCAGCGGAAAAAAGAAAAGAAAAAAAGAAAAGAAAAATCACATATCTTCATGGATTTAAGTTCCTTATTCACTGCATGTATGTCACCTTTGAAAGGAAATTTGGACCATATAAAGAAATAATAGTTAATATAATTTTTAATCTCTTAAATTTTTGTCCATTTTGGTTTTAGTCTCTAAGATTTCAATTCATAGATTTTGGTCTTTTATAGAATAAAATGATCCATATTTTTATTAAATTATAGGGACTAATGTTTAAAAAAAAAACTTAAAAGAATAAAATCTTTAGTTTAAAACCTCAGCAATCAAAATCAAAATAAGAGCAAATGCAGAGGGATAAACTAGATTTGATGTTTTTTAAATTTTCATTTTTTACTTAAAATAAGGTGGATGACATCTGACTGTGTGTGTATTAATAACCAACACTCAAGACTATTAAATATCTTTTCGGCAAATAGTGGAGTTTCTATAGATGTGCAAGAAGTGTTTGACAACCCTCAAAAGTGTTTTTAAGAAGTACTTTTCTGCAAAACGAGACAAACTCTTTCATATATTTATTTTGTAAACTGTAAAAAACACTCTTAAAACCATAGTTTGGTTTCTATCCAAACACTCCCGTAATTTTAAACATAAATGTTTTGAAGTGAAGCAAAAGCCTCATCTTTATTAAGATTAATAACACTGATTGTTAAATTCATCTGGACACCAGTGACTCCTCTAAAGTGCAGGATAATACTTTTATGACTAGATTTGTGTCTTAATCACTAATTATATTATTTATGATCTGTAACTGGTATTTCTCCTCCTGGGCCAAAAAAAATACCATCTCCTATTTTAAATATAAGACCTCCTTTATAGTCTATAAATAAGATCTTATAATTTGTACTGGAGGTAGTAAATAGTATTTCTTGCTATAAAGTTTATATTTAATAAATTAGATAAAAAGTGCATTTCTTTTTCCTTTTTTTTACCTGAATAAAAAGCGAAACTTCTAAATGATGCAGCGAGCCTGTAAATTTTATAGACTACTCGTCCGATTTGGTATGAGGGAATTGGAGAAGAGAGACAAAATTTTAATTAGCTAAATTTAAAAAATTAGAAAAGTAGGGTTATAAAATTTTGATAAAGGAAATATATAAGATAAAAAAGTAAGCAAAATTAATTAAAAACTTTTAACAATGCTTCTCAAATTTTTTAAGTGCCTGTTTGGTAGGGCGTTTGTGGAGCTTAAAAGTAGCTTATTGGTACCATAAGCTCGATCTGCAATTTTGACCTGTTTGGCATGGCTTATGGTTTATCGCACTTATGACTGAAAAGCAAGATTGAATCGCACGATTAGAGAAGCTGCTGTGAGTAGCTTATTTCTGATTTTCACCGTGCTTGTAGGATTCTCCTTCATTTTATTCTCTCTCTTTCTCTCATATCTGAAAGCATCTCATTTATCCTCCCATCGACAAAAGGCAGAGCATTGCAGCCGTGAGCTCCATCGCGTCGTCATCGTGAACGCGTCTATTGCTGCGTCATCGTGCTTTCTCAACTCTTTTTATCAGAAGCAACAACGTTAGAAAACGAAGGGTCAGAGGTAGTGATACTGGTGGGCTATAGAGCTTTCATTCAGAAAAGGTGTGGGAGCTTTCATTCATTTGGAAGGAGAAGGGGAAGGGGAGAGAGAGAGAGAGAGGGGGGTGGGCTGGCGTTTTTTTTGTGGGGTGGGGAGCATAAAAAATAAATTTACATGAAAAGCAAATTTATCTTTTATAATAATTATAAACATTCTGGTTTTGAAATAATTTAAATTTATTATATCAACTTATTTTTTTTATTATGTTTCACTTCATATTTAAAATATTTGTTATGATTTCTGTAAAGTTTTTATTTTTAATTCACTCATTAAATTTTACTTTTTCATTATATTATCTTAATTCATTTTTTTTCATCTTTCACTTTATATTTAAAATATCTTATATAATTTCTCTAAAATTTTAAAATTTATTCGTTCATTAAATTTGATTTCTTCATATTAAATTATTTTAATTTCATTGTATTATGTGAAATTATTTTTTATCATGTTTCATTATTTATTAAAACTCATACTTATTTTGGTCATTTTATAATCAAATTTACTTTTACTCAACTATAATCCAAACAACTTTTTACTAATCTTACTTTTACAAACTAGCTTTTCTGAACTCCAATCCAAACACAATTCAGCTTATCCAATTTAGCTTTTACCTAATTTCACTTCTCCATAAGCTACTTTTTCAATAAGTTATTTTTCCAATCGCTGATCCAAACGGACCCTAAATCGAGCTCATTAAAATTTTTCCTTACCTCTCGTTCTTTTCATTTTTCTCGTACCAAATAGACTATAAATATAATATCTATTTCATAGTATATTCCGCTAGTTCTAAATATAAAAATTACACTATAAAATGAATTTTATATTTTTAGACTATAGTAGTAATTTGCATTGTAAAATAGATATTATGTTTGGGATCAAGTGGAGTAATAAACATCTTTCCCATTCGGCTCGCAAGATTGGTAGTATTTTAAATTTTTTTCACGGATTTTGTGTAGCATTTGAATCAATATGCTGTCTAAAAATATGAAGAAGAGTTGAATGAAATGTATTAAAAAAAAGAAGAGAGTATGGAAACTCTCACAACTTAACAAATAATTTTTTTTAAAATATTTTCATCATAAGTTAAGATAAAATTCCCTTTATATTTTTACCTTGAACACCATAAAATTATTTTTAAAAAAGCTAATGCAAATACTTAAAAATGAAATAAATGTGGTTGAAGTTTTTGTAGTCCAAATGACAGCAATCATTTTCCTGAATTCCAATTCAAGCTCTCTGTGAATGATACGTAGTCATGACAAAAAATATCCACACCTCAATGAAAATCTCACAATCATGACTTGTAAATAATATTATTTTTAAATACGACATACATAACTGTATTTGTTACCACTTTATAACCAAATGATATTAGGGGTTTATTTAGAATAAATAATAAAATTTTTTTAATGGTGATTTACAAAATACAAGATGTGTATATAAAAAAAAATTGTTTCGATCTACACAAAACGCTATTTATATACGTGATTTTAAATAAGCATCAAAATATTTTTAAAATTTTTTTAAACATAAAATCGTAACTTTGAGTTTTTTTTTTTTGGTAAAGAGTATAACGAGTGTTAGTTATGACAATATACTCATATTTATTTACTTATATACATGTGTGTGTATGTACATGAAGTTAATAATGGCGAGGAGAAATTGAAAGGGAGAGGTACATCCATTTTCTAGGGCATCCATGTATCGTCCCAACTCATGACTCTTTTCCCAATACTAAAGGCTTTCTTTTTTAATTTTTTATTGGAAATACTAAAGGCTTTTCTTTTCCAAGCCTAACAAGAATCCATCCAAAACCAAAATCAAAAATCCTCTTAACTCAACCCTCAAGTTAAATATTAACCAGGGTTATTTATCCACAAAACCAGCTATATATATCCACCATATGGCCCCAAGCGTTTTCTTTCATCAGCAAACCCTAATAATTTTTCCAAAATCATTTATCTTCTAATCCCCTCTTTACAGTTTACACCTCAAAAAGAAAAAATATTTAGGGGGCGAAAAATGGGAAGTTAGGAGAAAGCCAAGGGCCAAGGTCAAGGAAGGTCCCAAAAGAGTCATTGAAGAGAGCCCCACTCAAAATTTTCTCTACACTCTGGTACGTTTTCTTTTCTTTCCAATGAAATTTTTTGGATTTTGAAGAAGAGGGTCTGTATCTGTTCAAAACTTGAATTTTAGCCCCTCTTCCCTATGTCTCTTTACCTATTACTTTCTGCAATTAAGATACATGAGAGCGCGGGACATCGAAATTTTTCCCGGAGATGGGGCGGGGGCTTCGAAAGCCCTAGCTAGATCCCAGCTTTCCCGCCAAAACCACCCCATTTTCGGGCATAACCTTGCTTCTTCATCGGCTCCATTTATCTTCATTTTCTCACATGAGGTGTTTGCATGTCTAGTCGTAGTTTTGCTGTTTCTGTGATTCTTAAGTATCGTGCGTGCTTCGATGCTCTAAATGTTCGAGAAAGAAAAAGGGTCATTAATCTGTTTTCAGGTCTTGAATTCGGCGCATATGATAGGACAGAGGATGGTCTATGCCTGATTATGGGCTTGCTGTATATATTGGTTAAAACCCCACGAATGCTTTAACCAGACGGATTCTCGGTCGTTCTTCAATCGGTTTCTGAAGGGCGTGATGTCCAAGTTGGAGGAGAACTAGATAGTGATGTTTTGAAGCTTTATCTGGTAGCTCCGGTTCTGTTGCAAGCTCAAGTTTCTTATTGGTTTTTGAAAGAGAACTGCCCCCGACGTACGTCCTCAATGCTTGGTAATGGGAAATCAGTGGATTTGTATAAGCTCTTCAAGGTTGTTAAGGAGAACGGTGGGTATGACGCAGTCTCCAAAAACCGTTTATGGGATCTGGTGGGTGAAAAATCTGGGTTGGGTACGAGCGTTGGTTCATTTGTGCAACTGATTTACAATAAGTACTTGATTACTTTAGAGCTATGGCTAAAGCAAGCTGCTGATAATAAGGTCTCTGACTGTAGTCTGGAGTTTAACAGAGTTGATTTTGGCAGGCATTTGATGGAGTTGCACGCAGAATTCGAGGGGTCCTTGTCGGACTGTACTGATGAAGAGTTGGGAGATGAGATGTGTCAACGTTCTGAGTTTAAAACTGAATATGAACGCCAGGATGGTGGGGTGTTGTTCGATGCTAAGGGAGTGAAGAGCAGGTCTGGAGGGGCCAAAAAAGTTCAGAATGGAGGATTTATTGATTTAAATATACCAGGATTTGACTTGAATGAACTCGCAACAACAATTGAGTTGAATGAACTCAGTCCAGGAAATTTGTGCATTAAGAGTGAGGTAAACAAAATGCCCATATTATCGGATGGAGGCACGAAATGTGCCAATGATGATGATATTTTGATATTGGATCCATCTGATGTAAATGAAGAGAGCTTCAATCGTAAAAGGAAGAGGGAGTCTATGCAGGGAATGCTAAACTGGTTGACTGGCATTGCAAAGAATCCCTGTGATCCTGTTGTTGATTCGATGCCTGAAAAATCAAAGTGGAGGTCTCACAGCAACGAGAAGGTCTGGAAGCAGGTTTTATTGTTTCGGGAGGCTGTTTTTCTGAAGCGACGTGTTGATTCAAGCAGTGAACAACTGAATTGGCAGGTACTATGGAAAGTACTGCATGTTATTGTTATCAATTAATTTTATTAATGTACCAATTAAGATGAGGCTTGTTAACCTTAAATTGCTTCCGTATTAGTATGTGTTGTATAATTAAATGTATTGGCTGTATATTTATGAGCTTCCATCTAAAGGATTTTTACACATGTGCATGTTTCTTATCCTGCTTATGCATCTTGATGTCTTACCTCTGTGGATGCACAGTCATTCATAATTATTTCCCTATTCATAGTGTCCGTGGCCTAAGATTGTGATTAGCTAGTATTTTCAATTGTAATTGCGGACTCCCATCCCTTTTGGTCCTCAATTTTTCACTTGCAGCTTTTACTGCCTTGACAACCTGAAGAAATTCATTGTTTTGTCGAGGGCTATGATGGTTGGCTCTAGTTGGCATACTACAGAAACACATTGACATAATGTTTCAAAACCTGCAAGCGCACACCACTTGCAAGCACGCCTGCACATGTAAACATCTTGTTTGGTGTTGTTTAATCTGCTGTTCTTCTTTGTGAATAACATTTCCATTTGTTCAACTAACATAAAGCACATTTGCGAACTTAAATAGTGCAATGGAAAAACCAGAACCGAATGGAGGAAGAGGAAGAGGTAGAGTTATGGTTCATGTGATTCATGTATGCAACCAAAAAAAAAAAATTAGTAAAGAACTTTATTTATCTCATCCATGCTAACCTCTTTGTGCTTTTTGTTAATGCCTTCCTGTTTCTACCCTTGGACTCCGTCACCATGAGGAGTTAACATCATTGTACTTATATCTGGAAACAAATAATGGCTGGATTCTGGTGTTTTCACTTGTTCTTTGTGCTTTTTCTTTGACATTTTCCTTTTGTTGACTACTACTTATTTTACCATCTTGTTTTCTTTTTAAGTATTGCACTGATTGATGTACAACAAATGAAAGAATATGGGCGGGAGGAGGGAGAAATAGATAGAAAGAAGAGAGAAAAGGAAGAAATTTAGGGAGAATAAGAGAAGATAGCTAATGTAAAATGGTGTTTATTTTTGCTAATTACAAATTGAAGTCTTTTCTGCTACTTCGTAATACCTTTGACATGCACGTAAGTGATTATAGCGGTGGGGAGTATGCCAGAATTTTCATAAAATTATAGTAAGCTCGTGTAGTTAAATGTCATGGATATCGTGTACAGATTTATAAGCCCTTAATTGGCTCGTAATATTTATAGCCAAGCTATTTTGTTATGTGAGTAAAGATTTTAATTGGAAAGGTTTACTTACATTAATTAGTAAGTATTAAGGATGCTGCTACCATCTATACCTAAGCTGGTTCTTAATAGGTAGGCTATATCTTTAATGTATTTTTCTAAAGTTGACGCTTGAATATTTGGTCAAAACTAACATCCTTTTGAATTTATTTTTAAATTAGAATCATCTTTTGACTTTGCAGAGACAAAAGATGCATCCATCTATGTATGAAGATCACCTTGAGGCAACGTACAATCTTAGGGAGAGGTGGAAGTGTGCCAAGAAGCTTATATTTGAAAAATCTATGTCTGCAAGAGTCTCTTCAGATTCATCCATGGAAACCAAGGGTAATCTGGAGAAAACTTCAAGTCCTCACAATGAAGATTCTGCTGAGAAAGAGCTGCCTGATTCCTCGAGTGCGCCATCGGGTATTGACAAATGTGGCATAGTTCCCATCCCTCTGGGGCCAAGTCACCAAGCTAAAGTACCAGAATGGACTGGCATGACTTCTGAAAGTGATTCCAAGTGGTTGGGGACCCGAATATGGCCATTAGAGAAAGTGAATCACAGACTCCTGATTGAGAGGGACCCCATTGGCAGGGGAAGACAAGATTTATGTGGCTGCCAAGTACCAGGTTCTGTTGCATGTGTCAGATTTCACGTTTCCGAGAAAAGGGCTAAGGTGAAGCTGGAGTTAGGTGTGGCTTTTTACCTGTGGAATTTACATAGGGTCGGTGAAGATGTTAGGCAATCATGGACAGTGGATGAAGAGAAGAAGTTTAAGGATGTGGTGCGATCAAATCCTCCATCATTAGAGAGATACTATTGGGATCATATTTTTAAAGCATTTCCTAAGAAGACCAGGGAAGATTTAGTTAGCTACTATTTCAATGTCTATCTTTTGCAGCGCCGAGGATACCAGAACAGGAGTACTCCAAATGAAATTGATAGTGATGATGAAGAATCAGAATTTGGACCCTTGAGGAATGTTTTTGGACAACAAGCACAGAAGCCAGCCAGTTCCATCTTACTAACCCCCAAAAAGTCTCAGACAAAGAACAAATAGTGTGAATGTTGGCCAAATCAGGAATTTATTTTAATTGTATATTTTGAAAATTTTGTTTCTTCACTGCAGCAATCATTGGTATCTGGATCTTTCTGTTTTGAATTTGCACTGATAATTGCTTGTGGAGTTAAAGATTGAGACGCAAGGTTGTTAATGTCTGGTGCATTTTCGAGAAATGGGGTGCCTGTGATGGACGTGGCCGACTGTGAGGATTTGACCAGCTTGGCAATTGGAGACTGGAGTTGCTGTTAGTTTGATTGCTTCCGGATTTTTAAATATACTTTTTGTCCATTCACAACGACAAAATCACAGGTAATCAAAATTGCATGTTTCCAATTTTTTCACCTGGTTCTTTACTACAAGGTCTAAGTTAAAACAGAGGCCTTAGAGGAATATAGAGTAGAATTTTATTGTAGAGGATCATGGATAAGAGTACAGCTAGTGTATTTCAATTTGCAGCCTTTCATCTGCACAACGCTCGTTCAAGTTTTTCATGTTTTCACAATGTGCTATTGAAATGGTTTTGGATCAGGAATCTGCAGTTTCCTCTGCTGATTTCTTGTGTTGACTCATCTACACATGCTTGGGCAAATATATCCGAGTTTTTTAATCACAATAAGCAATATGCAAAGAAATTGTCACTTTTTATCTGTTAATCTGATTGAAAAACATGCTCTTTTCATACAAATTAAAATGCAATTCTGCCACCAGTTGATACTGATTGAACCAGGCCTTTAATTTAGGAATTGAAATAAAATGAGCTTTTAAAATTGTCAGATTCTTGTTTAACAAATGGAATTTCGAAGTAGATTTACATTAAAAGAAGTAAAATAACATTAAATTTTAAAATAGTACTTATTAACTCAAATAAATTTTAGTTGAGGCATATCAAATATAATAAATTAAAATTGAATAAATAAGTTAAACTTAGCTATAAACCTTTATTAAACTTCAATATGAATAACTTCACTAGCAAACGTCTTTATTATACTGGAAGACTTTTAATTCGAAGTGAATAATGTTTCAAATTCTAGTTGAAAAATTATAAAATAAACAAAAATAATTTTTTTATTAAAATTTAAGGATAAATATGTAATTTCACCTTATTTTATTTTTTAGGTGTAGTTTTGCTTCTAAGTACAAGCTAGCGGGTGGGGTGGCATTGAACTCGTATGCCAGTGTCACAAAAGGTAACTTCGGGTGCCGCTTGATTTAACATTGCGACTAAACCCCATTACATTTAGATGACTTTCTTTCATTTGTCAATAAGAGTTCGTTTAGTTTTAGGAATCAGTTCATAATTTACAAAATCGTGTGATTGTTTCACTTTTAATATGCGGACTTTGTCAGTAAAGAATCTGTAAATAGTTTTGTAAGCATTATTTTCAGTTTTTTTTAATAAAAAATTGCATTCAGATGGTAGGGCAGGTTTTCCTTTCCTTTTAATTACACCAAATACGCAGTAAAAGTTGAATTCGCGGTCCGACAAGACAAAATTATGAAAATGCCAATATGCAACTATTGGCTGCCTTTGGTCAGAGCAAAGAAAAACAATTGGCTAACTTCTTTTTATTCTTTATTTATTATTTGGAAATAAATAGAAGTGTAGCTGTGAAGCATATATATTATATACACAAGTGAGTGAAAGAAAGATATATTTTATTATTTTGTGGACTCTTAAAAAGTCTTGGCCATCATAATCTGCCACACCATTTGCTTCATCAACTGGCTTTTTACGTGCTATACAGCCTTTGGCTTTGTACATATTTTGATAAATTCTGGCTTAAATGATTTTAAATATGAGAATAAACACACTTTTTGATTAATGTTTAGCATTATTATTATTATTATTTATGTTTTTTCAATTGCGTATTGAATCTCTATATGACAGAGAATCGAAATATAAAGTGAAGAAATATGTCGTCATTGGTTATTACTTTCCTTTTGATTTTGATTGATGCAAAGGAAAAGGGAAAATTGATTGGAGCTACCTCATCTGAAAAGGACCCATTTGAAATTTTCAATCTGGGAGAGAAGCTTTAGAAAATTTCTTTTTCATTTATCACACAACTAGATTTTATAGCTGGATGATGATAAAATGAGAGTGGAGTTATAAAATTTTATTTAAAAAAATGAAAGATGAAAATACAATCTAAGTGTCTGTTTGGATTAGCGATTAGAAAAGTAGCTTATTGTCAATTTGATTTTTAAAAAAGTGAAGTTAGGTAAAAGTTAAATTGGATGAGTTGAATTGTGTTTGGATTGGAATTTAGAAAAGTTGATGTGTAAAAGTGAGATTGGTAAAAATTGTTTGGATTATGATTGAGTAAAAATAATTTTGGTTGTAAAATGACCAAAATGGGTATGAGTTTTAATAAATAATGAAACATGATTAAAAAAAATGATTTCACATAATACAATAAAATTAAAATAATTTAATATGAAGAAGTCAAATTTAATGAGTGAAATAAATTTAAGAAGTCAAATTTCATATCTAGTTGGCCTCCAGCTTCTCCTTGTGTGCTGCTTGCCGTGAAAAATCAGAAGATGAACAGTGCCTAATTAGTCTCGTTGGCCACCAGAAAAAGGTTCAATCAGTGAACTCTCCCTTTCCAATCGGAAAAAAAATGATGATCACTGCTCCCAAAATCACCTTAAAAGCACGATTTCACAAGCCATAAGCTGGAGGATTCTACTTCTTCAATCGAGCTAAAAAATTGCAGCTTTTGACCATAAGTA